GTCAGAGCCCCAATATATACCTAGAGATTTAGGCAAAAGGTGGAAGACGTTTAAGAAAATCTGTGTCCAAACATTAGTTGACTACAAAGACAACCAAGGAAAGATAAAAGTAGCAAAACGTAACAGGGCATACAGACTTCACAGAATTATCCAGAAAAGTCACTAAAAACAACAAAAAAGAGCAACAAAACAAAATTCAGCAATCATAGTAAGCCATGGAGAGGGTAGGTACCTGACTTCCAGAATTGCCACATTATATCTTTTAAAATGTCCACATTTCAATTAAAATTATGAGGCATGCAAAAAAAACCAAAACAAAACAAAAACCCTAAAAACAAAACAAAACAAAACCCAGAAAGTATGTCTATATATACAGCAGGGGGAAAACAGTTAATAGAAATAGTCCTTGAAAAAGCCCAGATGCTGGGCACCTGGGTGGCTCAGTCAGTTAAGCATTCTGCCTTTGGCTCAGGTTATGATCCTGGGGTCCTGGGATCGAGTCCTACCCTGGGCTCCCTACTCAGTGGGGAGTCTGCTTCTCCCTCTGTTCCTCCCCCTGCTAATGCTCTCTCTCTCTCTCTCAAAAATAAATACAAATAAAATCTTAAAAAAAAACCCTGATGTTAAACTACTAGACAAAGACTTTAAATCATCTATTATGAATATGTTTAAAGAACCAAAGGAAATCATGCCTAAAGAATTAAAAGAAAGTCTGAGAATGATGTCTTGTCAAATAAAGACTATCAACAAAGGGAGAGAAATTATAAAAAGATCCAAATAGAAATTTTGGAGTTGAGAAGTATAATAGATGGAATGAAAAATTCACTAGAGGGCTCAACAGCAGATTGAATTTGCAGAAGAAAGAATCAATGAACTTGTAGATAAATCAGTTGAGATTATTTAGTCTAAGGAATAAGAAAAAAGAAGGAAGAAAAATTAATAGAGCCTAAGAGACCTATGGGACACCATCAAGCATCTAACATGTATAATGGGAGTTTCAGAAGAAGAGGAGGAAGATAAAGAGGTAGAGGGAATATTTGAAGAAGGAATGACCAGAAACATCTTCATTTAAAAAAAAAAGATTTTATTTATTTGAGGGAAAGGCATAGAAAGCAGGAGCAGGGGGTGGGGCGGTGGGGGGGGTGTGCAGAAGGTGAGGGACAAGCAGACTCCCCGCTGAGTGGGGAGTCAGATGTGGAGCTTGATCCTAGGAACCTGAGATCATGACCTAAGCTGAAGTCAGATGCTCAACCAACTGAGCCACCCAGGAGCCCTGAAACATCTTCAATTTGATAAAAATAATTAATTTTTACATCTGAGAAGCTCAACAAACTCCAAGTAGGATAAACTCAAATTGATGCACACTTAGATATAACATAGTCAAATTGTCAAAAGACAAAGACAAAAAGAGAATCTTGAATTCAGAAAGGGAAAACATAACTCATCATTTCAGGGGATCTTTGATAAGATATCTGATTTCTCACAGGAAACTATGGAAGCCAGAAGGGACTACATATTTTAAGTGCTGAAATAAAAAGAATTTTGTATGCAGCAATACTATCCTTCAAAAATGAAGGTGAAACTAAGACATTCCCAGATAAACAAAACCTAGAAGTATCTGTGAACAGAAGGCCTAAACTACAAGAAATAATAAAAAGAGTATTTCAGGCTGGAATGAAGGGACACTAGACAGTAACTCAAGTTCACACACGAAAATAGAGACTTATAAAGGTAACTACATAAATAAATATGAAAGAATAAACATGTTTTTGTCTGTAACCCTTTTCTTCTGACTTAAAGACAACTACATAAAGCAATAATTATAAAACTGTGTTATGAGATTAAAATGTATAAAATGTAATTTATATAACAATAAAAGCACAAAGAAGGGAGGAGGGAACAGAGTTATATTGGAGCAAAGTTTTTGTGTACTATTGAAATTAAATTGCTATTCAAGATGACACAAAGAAATGGAAAGACATTCCATGCTCATGGTTTAGAGGAAAAAATATTGTTAAAATGTCTATACTACCCAAAGCAGTCTACAGATTTAATGCACTCCCTATCAAAATACCAACACCTTTTTCACAGAACTAGAACAAACAATCCTAAAAATTTTATGCAACCACAAAAGACCCCAAATACTCAAAGCAATCTTGAAAAAAAAAATAGCAATACTGGATGTTTTACCATTCTAGACTTCAACTTATCTTACAAAGCTGTAGTAATCAAAACAGTATGGTACTGGCATAAAAATAGACACATAGATCAATGGAACAGAGTAGAAAACCCAGAAATAAACCCACAGTTATATGGTCAATTAAAGGAGGAATGAATATATAAGGGGAAAATGACAGGGTCTTCAAGAAATGCTGTGGGGAAAACTGGATAGCTGCATGCAAAAGAATGAAACTGGACCACTTTATTTCACCATATACAAAAATAAACTCAAAAAAGGATTAAAGACCTAAATGTGAGATCTGAAACCGTAAAAATCCTAGAAGAGAGCACAGGCAGTAATATGTCTGACATCAGCCATAGCAGCATTTTTCTAGGTATGTCTCCTGAAGCAAGAAAAATAAAAGCAAAAATAAACTATTGGGACTTCATCAAAATAAAAAGCTTCTGCACAGCAAAGGAAACAATAATAGAACTAAAAGACAACCTACTGAATGGGAGAAGATATTTGCAAATGACATATCCAATAAAGGCTTAGTATCCAAAATTTATAAAGAATTTTTACAACTCAATACCCAAAAAACAAATAATCCAATTAAAAAATGAGCAGAAGACATTAACAGACATTTCTCCAAAGAAGACATCCAGGTGGCCAACAGACACATGAAAAGATGCTCAACATCAATCATCATCAGGAAAATGCAAATCAAAAACCACAGTGAGATATCACCTCACACCTGTCAGAATGGCTAACATCAAAACCACAAGAAAAAACAAGTGTTGGCAAGGATATGGAGAAATAGGAACCCTGGTGCACTGTTGGTAGGAATGCAAACTTGTGCAGCCACTGTGGAAAACAGTATGGAGTTAGGGGCACCTGGGTGGCTCAGTTGGTTAGGCGACTGTCTTTGGCTCAGGTCGTGATCCCGGAGTCCCGGGATCGAGTCCCGCATCGGGCTCCCTGCTCGGCGAGGAGCCTGCTTCTCCTTCTGACCCTCCCCTCCTCTCACGTACTCTCTCTCTCTCATTCTCGCTCTCTGAAATAAATAAATAAATCTTTTATAAAAAAAAAAAAAAAGAAAACAGTATGGCGTTAAAAAGAGAGCTACCCTACAATCCAGGAATCACATTACTGGGTATTTACCCCAAAAATACAAAAACACTAATTTGAAAGGATATATGCACCCCTATGTTCATTGCAAAATTATTTACAATAGCCAAACTATGGAAGCAGTCCAAGTATCTATCAAATAATGAATAGATAAAGATGTGATACACACACACACACACACACACACACACACACACATAATGGAATATTATTCAACCATAAAGAAGAAGGTAATTTTTCCATTTGCAACAACATGGATGGATCTAGAGGGTATAATACTAAGTGAAATAAGTCAGTCAGAGAAAGACAAATATATTTCACTCATATGTGAAACTTAAGAAACAAGCAAAAGAAATAAAAAAAGGGAGAGACAAATCGAGAAACAGATTTTTAAGTATAGAGAAAAAATTGATGGTTACCAGAGGGAAGATGGGTAGGGAGATGTGTGAAATAAATGATGAGGATTAAAAGTACACTTAATCATGATGAACACTGAATAATGTTTAGAATTGTTGAATCAACATATTGTATACTTGAAATCAATATAACATTGTATGTTAACTGTACTGGAGTTAAAATTAAAAACTTAGTAATAAAAAGTGCATGGAGACACTTAAAAAAATTAAAGTGGTATTAATCCAAATTAGATTAAGTCGTTTATTGGAATCTTGAGGGCAACCACTAATAAAATAACTCAAAAAGAATAATAAAATAAATGACAAATGAATAAAATGGTATACTAAAAACATCTATTTAAGATTCAAAATAAAGGTAGTAGTGGAAGAATAAAGGAACAAAGAAGACATAAAAAACAAATATCAAAGTAATAGACATAAATCCTACCTTATCAGTAATTACAATAACTGTAAATGTATTAAATATTTTGATCAAAAGACAAAGATTAGTGGAATAGTTCAAAAAAATCTACTCATATGCTATATAAAGAGACACCCTCACAAAGATACAAATATGTTGAAAGTAAAATAATAGAAAACGGATACACCATGGAAACAATAATAGAGAGCTGGAGTGGCTATACAAATATAATTGAACCCAGTTGAACCAGGGAAGGAAATCATGATTATTCTTTTTTTGCTGCTTAAATCTATTTGTTTAGAACTAATAATTGTCTTTTCTTATTTGCTTAACTTTCTATGTATTTATCAACAATTCCATCCAACCTTTTCACAATTTATCTAAATCTCTCAAAATGCTCAAATGTATCAGATATTCCATCATTTCATCTTCTTAATGGAATTTCTTACAGAGCCTCTGCCATGTTCCACTACAGATGAATTATCCACTATGCCTGCATTTTTTTGTCCTGTGATCTCTCTTCATGAGCATCATGGTTATTAAATTCATCTCTCTGTTGGGTTGGAACTACTGTTTTTGGTTTGTCAGTTCTTTCTTGAATTGTTCCCTCATTTTATTTTTTTTTTTTATTTTTTTTTTTATGTGCTTCACAAAATTCTTTCTTAATTTTTTATTGGTTGTTTTGAGGATCAGTACAGACGTTTCAATTTGTACACAATTCTTAACATACGTACCGAAAATCTAAGAAAAACCATGTAGTTGTGATTCTTTTCTAAAAGTTATTCCAGTGACCTTCCAGCTTAAAATTTGGAGGCAAATTTTCCTGAACAGTATATCAAGTACCAAGATCTTCAAATGCTGATACGCTGTTACATTGTTAAGTCCCATTAATTCACAATTTAATATCATATACACTACATACTCAAATTCTCAATCTTGCACAGCACATTAACAGAGTTACTAGGAAAACTGGACTACCACGACCAAGATGTTACAGAGTGCACAAGAATTCTGACCGGGAGAGCCAAGATCTAGGAGTGGTTTTCTTTAGGAAACAATTCTACCAAAACAACATGGGAATAGAAGTAATTTAAAATATTCAAGACATAGTAAATGCACGACCGACTCCAAATTGCCATTTAGTATGCTTGGTATTATAGGATATAAAAACTACCCCAGCTATGGAATGTTGAGCTGACACCCAAGACAATCAAAGCCTCCCACATTCAATATCCCACTATTTCCTGGTTGTACCAAAAAATAAACAACCAGCAAATGATTTCACCTCTTAAAAAAAAGCATTTACACTTAAAAAATGGGATGAGGTGGGATTCCCTCCTTCTTAAAAATGTTTCTAGAGCTACTAAAAAACTTGCATTTACAAAATAGTTGATAAAAATATTCCTCTGGATTGTACAAGAAGGGCGACAGGGACCACTGATAAGACATGGTTTATGGTATTAATCAGACTTGGCTTCTTTCTCTCCTGCTTCATCGGAGGCTGGACTCTCCTCATTTTTAGTTTCTCCATTTTCTGCAGGTAAGTCTTCTTTCGTTTCTTGGTTAGCCACTTCAGCCTGTTTTCCCTTTGCTCCCCTTTTCCCCTTTGTTTGCACTTTTTTGTCTTAAGATTTATCCTTTCCTGCCGCCTTTTTTGGCTTCGTTTCCACTTTTGCAGGAGCAGGTTTAGCTGACAACCTCGCCGACCTCCTCTTGGGCTCCTCCTTCGACGCCCCCTCGGCGGAGCTGACCTTATTCTTGGGCATCGTGGCGACGGGGCGGGCGCGTGCCAGGTGCCTGCGGGCCGCCGCGCGCCGAGACCCTTCGCGAAGCTGGGCTGCCTGGCTGCTACCGCTCCTCCCGCCGCCTGAGCTGCTGCGGCCCGCCCTGTTCCCTCATTTTAAAGAATTCAGCTTTCAGTAGCTTCTTGAGCAAAGGAAACATGGAAAATATATTTCTTAGAACTTGACTGGCTAGAGTTCATTTATCCTACCCTAAATCTTGATTAAACGTTTTCTTGGTATAGAATTTTAGGTTGGAAGTAATTTTTCTTCAGAATTTTGAAGGTGAACCACAAATAACCTTGAATTCCTTTATTCCAATGAGAAGTATGCAACAATTTTGATTTTTGATTCTTGTTATATAACCTGTTATTTTCTTTCTAGAACACCATTTCCAGTATACCAAAATTTTGCAATGGTATGTCCTGGTATGAGTCTATTTTTATCAATTTTATGGGGCAACTGGGGGCTCTTTTCTTTCTCACTTTTCTAAGGATATACGGTAAAGATTTAGCTTACATATAGTATTTAGTGACCACTGCAAAGTACACAGGAATAAAATACAATTAGCAAAAACTAAGCAGTTCTTAATCACCTATCTACAGGAAGCATAATGTTGGTAATTCTTGGTTAACTCATGAAAGAGAAGGCAGAGGTGTTTGAAGCAAATGAATGGGCTTTTTTTTTTTTCTTAACAACCCCAATTTAGTGACTAAGGCAATAAAACAGAGCATAGTGAAGTTTTTTGTGTAATGTTGGTAATTCTGGATAATTGTAAAGAAAGGTTGCCTCTGATCAAGATATAACAGACATTTTAGCTTTAATCAAATGTCCTAATGTGAGATAGTCTTTCAGACTCAGAATGCCTTTTATTTTTCTTATGTTTCAAACTTTGCCACTTGGCCACTTTCACCTCTAGCATATATAAACATATTTTTATGAGGCATAAATCCTTTGTAAAATTGTGTTAAATCTAAATAAGATTGGAATAAAATTTAAGGAAATGTGTTCTATTATCAAAATTCTATTGCTTGATTTTTTCTTCTTTTTGTTTTTTTTTCTGAAGCTGAAATCAAAGCATTCATCCTAAGGTATACTACTATGAATACATAACCCAGAGTGACTTTTAGGGGCTACACTGTAAAAGTAAAAGGAGATGATGGAGGAAGGGAAGGGGTTATGTTTAACTTGAGAATGTGGCAAATATTTTGTTTGAATGTTATTTGCAGTATTTTATCTCTTTAAATCCTGCAACATAAAGATAAATAAATAATGTGGGCAGTATAATAATGTCAGCTTTTCCAAAGTACACTTTTCTCTTTTTCCAATCTGTGAAGATTGATAAAGTGCATTTAATAAAGAAGCTATTTTTTAATTTTTAAAAAATTATTATTAAAATATAATTGACATAAGTTTTATTCTTTCTTATCTTGGGAGATGAACCTGGTAGACACACTTATATTTAACTGTCCTATTCTCAAGTAACTTTAAATATTTTATTTATTTATTGAGAGAGAGAGTGAGCAAGTATGAGCAGGGGTAGGGGCAAAGAGAGAGGGAGAGAGAAATCTTAAGCAGCCTCCACACTCAGTGCGAGCCCAACATGGGGCTTGATCTCACAACCCTGAGATCATGACCTGAGCTGAAATCAAGAATTGGACACCTAACCCAGGTGCCCCTCAAGTTACTTTAATTGTTTGGGTAAAAAATGTTAATTCCTAGAAACAATAATACTTCAACAGCTTATTGAACTTCACCAGATGGAAAACACTTCTAAGTTTATGGTTCATTAGGTCTATACTCTCAACCATTGAATTTAGACATTTATCTAGAAATTAGATAAATGACACAGAGCAAAAAAACTGTAAAGTGAGAAATTTAACATGTCTATGATTAACTTTCATTATCTTGATTTTATTAGTGAAAGCCTAGTAAATTCTGAGTGAGCCTTGTAAACTAGATTTTTAAAATCATATACTCTTTGAAAAATAATTTTTGGTTACAAGATTTAAGATGGTCACATTTCTGGACTCTCAAAAGATATTCTTGAACTCTCTCTTATTACTACTTAAAAATGTTATTTTGTTAATTGCATAATGAGTTGTTTGGTTGAAATAGGAAGGAAAAACAAAACAATAAAGTGGTAACTGCTACAGAAATTTGAGAAAAAGGCAGAAATTACCAAATATTTGGGAATTGCATTTTAACATTGACCAACTCAAGGAATGGGTATGAGACTGGAAATCCAACTGAAAACTATTTATCTGAATCACTAGTGGTAACAATGTGCTGTTTTGAATTGAGACAGTGCTCATCTCTTAAAATTCTGATGTAGTTTTATTAGTTATTCTCACATCTAAAAATAAAAAAGTAAAAAAAAAAAAATAAAAAAGTCAAGTTGTTCTGATCTTTTGAATATAGCATTTAAATCCTGTATTCTCACAAAAGGGTACATGTTCTTCCAAGTAGAATTTCTAAAGTTTTAAAGTTTTAATTCTATCAAAAAGCAAAGCTCTGGTATTTTTCTTCCCACTTAATTCCACTCCTCCATTACAGGGTAGTCTGCCATGATGTGCTGAGTGACAAATAATGTACAACCTAAATTAATGCATGAGCCTTTTATTTTTATTTTTTATTATTTTTGGGTTTTTATTTTTTTTATTTTAAGTCCTATTAACATATAGTGTGTTAGTTTCAGAGGTAGAGTTCAGTGATTCATTAGTCTTATGTAATACCCAGTGCTCATTACATCACGTGCCCTCCTTAATGTCCATCACTCAGTTTCCCCAACCCCCCATCCCCTCCCCTCCAGCAACCTTCAGTTTGTTTCCTATGGTTAAGAGTTTCTTATGGTTTGTCTCCCTCTCTGATTCCATCTTGTTTTATTTTTCCCTCCCTTCCCCTATGATCCTCAGTTTTGTTTCTTAAATTCCACGTATGAGTAAAATCATATGATTATTGTCTCTCTCTGACTGACTTATTTCGCTTAGCATAACACCCTCTAGTTCCATCCATGTCATTGCAAATGGCAAGATTTCTTTTTTTTTTAATGGTTGAATAATATTTCATTGTGTATATATACCACATCTTCTTTATCCATTCATCTGTCGATGGACATCTGGGCTCTTTCCACAGTTTGGCTATTGTGGACGTTGCTGCTATAAACACTGGGGTGCAGGTGCCCCTTCGGATCACTACATTTGTATCTTTGGGGTAAATACACAGTAGTGCAATTGCTGGATCATAGGGTAGCTCTATTTTCAACTTTTTGAGGAACCTCCATACTGTTTTCCAGAGTGGCTACACCAGCTTGCATTCCCACCAATAGTGTAAAAGGGTTCCCCTTTCTCCACATCCTCGCCAACACCTGTTTTTTCCTGACTTGTTAACTTTAGCTATTATGACTGGTGTGAGGTAGTATCTCCTTGTGGTTTTGATTTGAATTTCCCTGATGCCGAGTGATGTTGAGAATTTCTTCACGTGTCTGTTGGCCATTTGTATGTCTTTTTTGAGAAATGTCTGTTCATATCTTCTGCACAAGTCTTGATTAGATTATTTGTTTTTTGGGTGTTGAGTTTGGTAAGTTTTTTATAGATTTTGGATACTAGCCCTTTATCTGATATGTCATTTGCAAATATCTTCTCCCATTTTGTCAGTTGTCTTTTGGTTTGGTCAACTGTTTCCTTTGCTATGCAAAAGCTTTTTATTTTGTTGAAGTCTCAACAGTTCATTTTTGTTTTTGTTTTCCTTGCCTTTGGAGACACGTCTAGCAAGAAGTTGCTGTGGCTAAGGTCACAGAGGTTGCTGCCTGTGTTCTCCTCTAGGATTTTGATGGATTCCTGTCTCATATTTAGGTCTTTCATCCATTTTGAGTCTATTTCTGTGTATGGTATAAGAAAATGGTCCAGTTTCATTCTCCTGCATGTGGCTGTCCAATTTTCCCAACACCATTTGTTGAAGAGACTGTTTTTTTTTCCATTGGATATTCTTTCCTGCTTTGTCGAAGATTAGTTGACCATAGAGTTGAGGGTCTGTTTCTGGGTTCTCTATTCTGTTCATTGAACTATGTGTCTGTTTTTGTGCCAGTACCATACTGTCTTAATGATTACAGCTTTGTAATAGTGCTTGAAGTCCAGCATTATGATGCCACCAGCTTTGGTTTTCTTTTTCAACATTCCTCTGACTCTTCAGGGTCTTTTCTGGTTCCATAGAAATTTTAGGATTATTTGTTCCAGGTCTGTGAAAAAAATTGATGGTATTTTGATAGGGATTGCATTGAATGTATAGATTGCTCTAGGTAGCATAGACATTTTAGCAATATTTGTTCTTCCAATTCATGATCATGGAAAGTTTTTCCATTTCTTTGCACCTTCCTCATTTTCTTTCATGAGTGTTCTATAGTTTCCTGAGTACAGATCCTTTGCCTCTCTGGTTAGGTTTATTCCTAGGCATCTTATGGTTTTTGGTGCAATTGTAAATGGGATTGACTCCTTAATTTCTTTCTTTTGTTTCATTGCTAGTGTATAGAAATGCTACTGATTTCTGTGCATTGATTTTATATCCTGCCACTTTGCTGAATTCCTGTATGAATTCTAGCAATTTTGGGGTGAAGTTTTTTGGGTTTTCCACATAGAGTATCATGTACATGAGCCTTTTTCATGTTGACTTCTAACTCACAAAAGCACACTCTCATACAAGAGGATTATACTACCAGACTTCAAATAAGCACCTGAATAACTCAATAGAGTTATGTAAGTGGTTTGAATGCCTACATGCTTGTGAAGGTCATATACCTCGTGAGCATAAATTAGTTAAAAGAAAAAAATCTCCAAGGCTCTAACAGGAGTGATCTTCCAAACTATTTCAAAACACATAATTCCTTCCAGGTAGTATTCACCATGAAAGTAGTTCTCATCATGGCAAATGCCAGTCTTCCAGAAAAGTCTTCCCTTTACACATTCAAAGCAAAGAGGGTGGAATGAGAA